GTGATTATAAGTGAAAAGTTATAGTAAAATATTGAAAAACAAAAAAAATATATTTGTTTTTGGGAATAAAAATGACCCACACACTGTTGAATCAGCCGTATCACACCAAGAATAATAGGCCATAGTGTCAGCAGGAGCATTACCAGGAGCACTTCCATCAACATTTTCTGATCAGGTCTGTCAGTTCAGCTCAACAGTGACCGCCCACTTTTTAAAGGCTCTGTTTCTGGAAGTGAATTTCCAGAAAAATCTTATATGAAAAAACGTTTAATCTGTGAACCAATCCAATCAGCTACGAGGTGAATCGTTATCATGTTAACACACAGTTGATTTCAAACAGATTTGTTGTTTGTATAGGAGCACACAGCAAGTCTGCTTTGGACGATTACAACATAGTGGCTCATAATCAAAATCAGAAATGGAGAATATGAATGATATGATTGATGTAGGAGCTCCTGAGGTCAGAAGATAACCAGCTAACTGAATTGTTTTTGAATTGAGACATTCCTGTCTGTGCTGGAATCCATAGTTTTTTGCTGCTGAGTATAAAATTATTACATTATCCCTGAGTGCCCACAAACCTCTGCTGATCACATTTATAACAAACACACACTTACTGTGTACTTACTCATGTTACTGCCAGAAAACACGCAGATCCTGACTTTTGTCTGTTTGGAGCCTTTCTGCTACAGGTAATAACCCCTATAAGCCTGATATGTGAAATAATTGCCAGAAAATTAAATTCCAAGCATTTTTTAAAATGGAGAGTTTATTGAACAATCTGACAAATTTGTTTAAAAATGTATTCGATTTTACATTTTTAAATTTGTTTCTTAAATTTAAAAAAAAAAATTATCCAATTTAATCTTTTTTTCAGGTGTAAAAAGTAAAAAAAATTAAAAAAAAAAAAATCACACCAATGCTCTAAAGTCTCAAAAACTCACAAAAAACTGTGTGTATTAAATATGATAGACTAGGTGTTAAGGGGATGAATGCATACATTTAGACAGGCGCTCCTGTCTTTGAGCAGTGCAGCTGACAGAAAAACATCTTGTTCTTAAAAGTTTTATTAGTAGCTGATCTTTATTTAATATGTTGTTTGCTCTTCTAGTATTACTTTCTTCTAATGCTCCCATTCATCGTGCTTCTACTTTTAAGCTCCAGTAACTGTAGGCTGTTCCCAGTTTAATGTGACTTTTAGCCTCTGTGTGTTCACATTAATGGGGCCTTGTTCCCTCCTCAGGCACCTGAGCCTCTCAGCTCTCTGAAGGCGATGGCGGAGAGAGCAGCGCTGGGATCAGGCCTGGATGGCGAGATTTCCAACCTGCATATAACGGATAGAGGTCGAAACGGTCAGACCTTTTTTACCTTTTTTCAGCTCTTTATGATGAATAAGCAGATCACACTTTTATGCTGCTTGCTGTTTTGTTTTTTTTAAATAATTGTACAGTAAAACATTCTTACACACTGCTCATGGTAACGTAAAGAGTTAAGCCTAAAGTGTAAAAACTGATTTTTTTTTATTTATTTTTTTTACAAACTAAGTTATTATTTGTCTTTTATGAAGATAACAAACATTAGCTTGTTGCTGCCAGCTGTTTTTGTGAGGCAGGAGGTTTTTATGTGTGACATATTTAAGACATTTCCCTTTGTTCTGGTAACATTTAGTTTTCCTTTTAATGCCAGATTGTTACTGCTTCGTGAACATAATTATGAGTTTTGCTGCCAAAGTGTAGGAAGGAAAGTTCCTGTTTTGCTTCTTTCCAGCTTGGCATTTTTATGCTTCGATTCACAGAGGAGGCAGCCAGAAGTAGAAAAAAATCAGAGAGTTTAGAGCAGTCTGGAGCCTGAGTTATTGGCACATAGGGATTGCTTATCTTAAAACACACACACACATTTTCGTTCATTTGTTATCCAGTTTAGAGTGTCGGGGGTGCAGCCTATCCCCAGGGTCAACTGACCAACATTCATGCTCACACTCACAGTCATGGCCAATCAAAAATCACCCGCTAACATAACATGCAAGTCTGTGGACTGTGGGAAGAAGCCAGAGTACCTGGAAAGAGAGTGTAGAAAGGTCCAAACTTCAGGTCAAGGCCTTTTTTGATTCAAGCTACAACCATGAGGCTAGATTATGTCTGTAATTAGTTTACTGTTGGAATGTTCTTACTCTTATAAAAACAGAGTTGGTACAACTAAAGGAATAACCTTAAAACTTTACCTTCAGTTGCTCGCCCTGTCGTTAAGAGTCACATCTAACCATACCCCACACAGATAATGGGAAGTGAGGCGCTGCTATGGCTTCTTGTGTAATTGAAGATAGCCGTTGCTTTTTCTGCATCCTGCAGATATCTTCTCTGGTTCATCTGCAGCACCTGGCACACCTGCCGCGCCTCAGCCGTCCGTGACAGAGGTCAACATCCCCCCATCGCTCGGTGTTTGTCCGCTGGGTCCAACCCCTCTCCCCAAAGACCAGCTCTACCAGCAGGCGATGCAGGAGTCGGCATGGACGCACATGCCCCACCCCTCTGACTCTGAGAGGATCAGGTGAGCCCATCACAATTTCCTTTAGCGTCGGGGGGGGGGGATGCACTTTTTTTTCACAGTAATTTTGCAAATTTACTTTGATTATATGAAAAATTTGCATTGTGTATGCATACTGCTCTGCTAAAAAAAATATGTAGGATAGCTTAAAATTTGTCATAAAACCTGATTATTATTTTTTTTAAAGCAAATTTGTTCTTAATCACTAGTTTTATTAAATTAAGAAATAATATAGTCCCCATTAGTCTCCAGAAGGGCAATAAATAAGTTTGTGCTTTAGGGCAAGCATACCTTATGTTTAAGTCAATATCATATAAATATGCAGTGTTCTGCAGTTTCAAAAAATACTGTGCAAAGGTTTTAGGCAGGTGAGAAAACATGCTGTAAACAACGAATGCTTTCAAAAATGGAAGTGTTACTCATTTATTTTCATCAATTAACAAAATGCAGTGAATGAACAAAAGAGAAATCAAATCAATATTTGGTGTGACCACCCTTTGACTTCAAAACAGAATTGATTCTTGTAGGTTTTTTTGAAGGAACTTGGCTTGCACGTTGTTCCAAACATCTTGGAGAACTTGATATATAGGCTTCCTCACATCCTTCTGTCTCTTCATGTAATCCCAGACGCATTCGATAATGTTGAGATCAGGGCTCTGTGGGGGCCATACCATCACTCCCAGTACTTCTTGTTCTTCTTTACGCTGAAGATAGTTCTTAATGACTTTGGCTGTATGTTGGGGTCATCCTGCTGCAGAATACATTTGGGGCCAATAAACAATCATTTATATTTCTGAAAGCATTTTTTCACACCTGCCTAAAACTTTGGTACAGTACTGTATATCCGTGGTTGCACAAATTTCGGGGAAAAGAGCCCTTTGCGTTGCTCTGTGGCTTAAAAGTAAACGCTTTTCTGGTGACTTCATGGGCTCAGTTGCTAGTTTTCAGTTGTAATGAATAATTTATGAAGTTTTTTTTTTATATTTTTACTATTATTAGAGTCAGAAAGGAGAATTTATCCAGGGCATGCTCATTCGGTAATGAAGGGTCACACACCTGCTCGGCATGACCAGTTTCGGGGAGCAACTGGAGGCTTCGCAACGGAACCTCAATAAGCAAAAAGATGAACCTGTTGTACCTTAAAGTGTTTGTGACATCTGTTGACACTAATAGAAAGTTCTGAATATTCACGTGTGGTTTTGGGTAGTGTGGATGGAGTACTTTGTTAGAGCAGAAATGAGCACAGCTGAAGTATGCTTTGATCAGTGGCATTCATTAAAGAGTTTTCTGTTTCTGTCTTAAAGGCAATACCTGATGAGGAATCCATGTCCCACCTTGCCCTTCCATCATCAGGTCCCACCTCATCACTCTGACTCCATAGAGTTCTACCAGAGACTGTCCACAGAAACTCTCTTCTTCATCTTCTATTACCTGGAGGTAAATGCTCTCCATGTAAACTCACACGAATCGGTTTGATTGTTTGAGTTTGTAAACTTGGAGCTGTTTTCTATGATTTGGTTCCTTTTCACACAAAAAAACTCAAAGAAACCTCAGCGCGAACCAAAATGCATCGTGACAAACCATGTGAAAACTTAGTTGGTTGCCCGTACTGACCGTTTTTGTGATCTGGACATCTATGGTGCACTGCCGCATCGCACAAAAAGTGCACGTGGATAATGAGAAGGACAGAGTTGAATTAAACGGACTAAACACCCTGAATGTCTTTTTTCTGTGATCTGTTAAAGTTTGTGAGCATAATGGTTTTATTGACTTCTCTCTCAGGGTACCAAGGCTCAGTATCTGTCTGCAAAGGCTCTGAAGAAACAGTCCTGGAGGTTTCACACCAAGTACATGATGTGGTTCCAGAGGCACGAGGAGCCCAAGACCATCACCGATGAGTTTGAACAGGTGCGGGTTCATCTCCGCACACCGATTTATGGTCATTGTGGTGTTGATTAAGGTTTTTTTATTCTTACCACTCTGCTGTTCCCTTAGGGCACTTACATTTACTTTGACTACGAGAAATGGGGCCAGAGAAAGAAGGAGGGGTTCACCTTCGAGTACAGGTACCTGGAAGACAGAGACCTGCAGTGACGGACGGACGGAGGGACACAAAAGGACAGAAAAGACAAAATGTGCTGCTGTTGACATTCCGAGACTGAACTCCAAACTGTGGATAGAGATTGTGATGTGTAGTAGAAACCCTCTCCTGAGATTGGAGACTGGTGTCTGTATAGGCTGCATCTCAAATGTGAAGCCCTTGCTCCTCATGTAGTGCTTTGCTTTTGACCAAAGAAAATGCCCCGTGGGTCTGATCAAATGCATCGCGCTGCACAAGCTGGGAGGGTTCTCGTTGGAGATCTGCGTTTGTGCCTGTCTGTGTGCACACTCAGTATGTGGCATTAGGAAAGCCTACCCCATGCATGTTTCTCATGTTTAGTTGTCTTTTTTTTTTCCCCGTTTCAACACGATTCTCTGTACCATCTACCCGACATCAGCCTGGAAGCCTTTTGACTTGACACAAAACAGACTTTTGGATTTGATTAAGTAAACTGCCCATCTCGTATTTACTGTAATTTGGTGGTTTAGAATGGGGACGTACAGTGGACATTTAGTCATGGTGTGTAGGAATGGCTTCTTTTAAGATCCTACAATGCCTGTTAAATATGGTCACTATTGAAGATAGTGAGCGGTTATCAATAGTTTTATTGATATTGTCTTGGTCGATTTAAAACGCTGATTGAGAGTGACCACAGGGCCTCTCCCTGTGACAGGGAAAGAGTCCTTATTGGACATGGATTAAATTGCTATGCAATTGAACTGGTCTCTGACTCCCTCTCTTTACAAATAAAATGTTTTTAAGTTAACGTGTCAAGGAAAATGCATTATTATTGCGCCTTCATGTTTGTGACAAATTAATAAACTTGTAAACAACTCTTAAAGATAGGATTTGAGACATTAATCTACTTGATGTTTAATTTTCCCTCAGTGTGAAAAGGCCATGTTGAGCAGAGGGTCACCTCTCATTTCCTCAAAAGTACACACAGCATTAGATAATAAATCTGGGTTTGGTTGGGTCAACTTCCCAGCTTTAGCCAAGGTTTTATTCTGTTGTTACTTTATCCCAGACTTCACTGAGTTCAGTTTACCACCTGATATTTCAGTGAAAGCCCTATACAGTGAATGTGCACTGACTAAACTGTTTACATGTAGAGTTGAAACAGAAATCCTAAAATTCAGGTGGTAAATTTAACTCGTGGGTTGAGTAGAAAGTGTCTCGTCTGCCGTGGTTGTTCCATTGTGTTAGCCCGAAGAACAGTAAGATTTAATCTGGGATGGGACGCATCCTACCTTTTCCTGGCAGTTTGAATGAGGGAGAGTGTTAAAACCGAATCAGTTTTCCATTTAAGCAACCATGAAGAGTTCTGTACCACAGGTTATGTTGTGTGTGATTTGTTTTCAGGCTTTTTTTTGTGGGAGGGAAAAGAGGGGGATGAGCATGTGGGAGGGGAAAAAAACAAGGAAAATGCAGCAACGTTCTGAGAGATTTGCCTTTTATAGATTCTATTTTTTGGGCTTTTAAGGTTTACAGAAAGGTCAGTGAAACTGCTAAAATGTGAATTTCAACACATTTACAATTTTTCTCATCACAGTTCTGCATGGGAGATGTCATAAATGGGGTTATAACAGGATTGTAAAATTTCAATAAATACTTTTAAGAAATTATCCATCAGTGTGTGGCGTAAAGTCCTGTCATTCCTACATGGAATATGGATCCACATATTTTCCATCACCTTTAATTTGTTTTGTTTTTTGGTGTCCCAAGAAATACCGGATGACATAAGGAAAATAATATTAAGATCTGCTGCGTTTAGCTTCACTTACAGTAAGCACACCTGACATGCACCTGCCCATCAAAGTAACTACACATTACCTGCAGATTTAAATAACTGTCATAGTGCTGTTTGGTAGCTACACAAAGAAAAAACCTGTAAAATGATGCAACCTTGTTGCATCTGCTTTCCTCACAAAGCAAAGTCTGTTCTGTTGCTGACCGTGTCCCTTTATGACACAGCGATGGGTACACTGTGGTCATGGCATGTTAACCTGCTTCCAGTAGGTTACGGACATTTGACAAAGCTCAGATGATCATCACAGTCACCTTTGAAATGTGGTGAAACATGAGATTTAGATCATTAGCTGATAACTACAGCACCTGTGTGATCGTTTCCATCACCTTGTTGAATCAGATCCATAAAAATGTAAACTAGTTCTGATGACAAAAGAGTCCAACCCAGTACTAGCAAGTTCCTAATAAAGTGACCGTGGGGATTTTATCTTATTCGTAGCAGCTTTACTTTCAGTAAAAATAAACTCTGTATTAACTCAAAATTCAACATAATTAGTTCAGTTTCACTCAAAATCGAAGATCAAAACAAGCAGGTATAAATTCAAATGTCACAGAGGAGGCTCCTGTTTCTTGTTTTTAGAAAAAACATACCTACAAAGTGAACTCTATATTTTATTTAGATGGGGGAAAAAAACCCTTAAGTCGAAAACAAGTTTCAAAAAATAAAATAAAAAAAATAACACGAGGTGAGCCAAATTTTAAAATATACTTTCACAACTTTGCAACTGTCCATGTGCAGGGCGTCCGTATGTCTTCACATCTTAGCTTCCTTCTTGACTTTGAGGAACTCTGCCATGTTAGAGAAATATTTCTGGTTAGCTTCAGCCACCTTCTTCTCTGCAGCCTGCGGGTTCACGATCTCCAGCCCCTGTAGAAGGAAACAATAACGGATTTAAAAACAAAAAAAACAAACAAAACAAAACCCCAAACTCTCTTGCAGGTCTTTAGTTAACGAGTCCGCTTCTTTTTACCTGGAGAGGTGTGAATGCTACGCTGGAGCTGGTTCCTGAAGAACGATCTCTGACTGTGGACTTTCCTCCATATGTCATGCTCTGCTTTTGCAATGTTCTCTGTGGACAAAAGCCAAAATGTTAGAGATGATGTAGATACAAACACCAGCAGGAGAGAAGAGCGCATTTACCTGCAGGGATTTGGAGATCCTGGCTTTGGTGGCCTCGTTGACCTGAGCCTGCCTGACTCTGCCGCTGCCGCTCTTCCCCAGCTGACCCAGACTGAAGCCCAGATCCTCCTGATACGCATCATCTTCAATCTGCAACACAACACAGGAGAAACTATTTACTGGAGCAGGATCACCTTGTAATATAATTAACCATCGAAATATCAATGAAGTCCATGCCTGGATTACAGAACACTCCCCAACAGGGGTTAATATAACAATGAACCAATTTAATTTTCTTTACTGTAAGAGTTCTCTCAAATTTATATCCATTATGAATCAAAGGACTTTACTTTCTTTATTAGCAAAATATTCAATACGTTTTAGACTTTTTCAAATGTGAAGTTCTTTTTAAAGGACTGGATTTCATACTTGTTAGGACCGTTTTTAAACAGTGGTTTAAGGTAACGAAGACACATTCATAACAGCCAAGTCTCCATCCACAGAGAGCAATAAGCAGCTCAGAAACTGCACATTTATTAACAGACCAGAGTAGAAACTGTTTGTACTGCAGTAAAATCATCTTGCTGAAGCTCCTTCAGAGTGTTGGGGGAAGTCTCGGTGAGTACAAAATAAAATAAAAATAGCTCGTCTTGTTGGGTGCTTGAAAAGAAAGGAACTGGACCTCCTTAAGTTTGTGAAGATGTTCTCATCCAAGAGACTTCTTCAGCTCTAAAACAGAACAGCTGACAGAGTCTCAGGTTTTTATGGTGGCTTCTATTTGAGTTGGAATTTTCAACTGGAATAACCCCTTCTCGTCAGACTTCCAACTCAGAAATTCAGAGCAGCCCCATCAGTCACAACTGCACAATCCAAGATGGCAGCAGTGAATGTAAACAGTCATAAAACATGTAACCTGCACAGCCACTGTTGTGTACATCGTGTCATCTGTTTGTTGTTTGGTTTCTCCTATGAAGTACAGCGACCTTCTTTTCAGGGACTACCATGACCTGGATAACTGAGAACCTACTCAAACACCTCATCCTGTTACACTGGCTCTGCTGCACAAAGCTGGTGCGAGCCAAAAGTGAGGCTGCTTTGAGTCGTCATTCATCCCAGGTCTGAAATTACTAAAAGCTTTCACTTGCTTTCTTATTCATTAGGGATCGCCCATAGCAGCAGTCTCCTCTTTTGCTTATTAGGCAAATGTGTAAACCCCTACATTACTACTAACCAGAGGAAGAGAAGAGATTCCTCCTGCATGTCTTCATATTTAGTAACATGTCTATATTACTATATTATTATTTTTTGTGTTAACTATTTGTACGGTTTTCCTTCTGTCTTCATTAAAAGCATCTTTGAATAAAAGAAAAGAATGCTAAATGAATTATGGCTCATAGTCAGACATCAATAATGAAACATGAAATATCACTGGATTAAAAACAAATCTTAAAAACAGGAGCGGAGAAAATATGTACTGACCTCTGCAAAGGTCATCCTGTTGGCATGTTTTCTGATCTCAGTCAGCCCGAGACGCTCTTTCATCTTTCGGTACCTGCAGGAAAAGAGCAGCGGAGCTTGGTTATGCCAGTCACTGGATATTTATAGTCGTTGGTGGTAGTCTAAACTTGGCTATGAAAGTTACGTAAGCTTCTTGCAGGCTTCCAGGATGCTGATCTGTGTCATGCCTTGTTCTGTTTCTGCTGAATTTTTTAACTTTTTTCAAATAAATGTTAGATCAGTTTAATCTCAGTAACCTTCTCCCTCTTAAAAGATTCCAATAATAATCAATTTCCATCTCCAGACTGCAATCCTCTTTAGCAGTCTATTCTGGCAGGCCTGTTTCAGGTAGCTGACAGATTGTTTACCTCCTTCCTCCTCTCTTCTTCCTCTGTCCATCCAGCGGGGCTGGCAGTGGTTTGACTTGCTTCACGGGTGGAGGCTCCTGCCATTTATCAAACTTCCTTTCTATTTCTTCTTTTAGATCATAGCCAACCTGCAAACAGTGACAAATATTTTTAAGCCAAATGAAACAAAAATCAACTTTATTTTTCCTCAGTTGCAAATAATTTTGCATGTAAATATGAAAAATCCAACCAAATATACATCAACAGACAAGAGAAATCATAATCTCTGTATCTGCTGGTACATTTATTCTTGCTCTAATACACAAGGCATTTATAAAACTTAGGTGTTCCTTTAAGAGACTCACCTTGCCATCTGAACTCTCGTGGAAACTGTCCACTCTTGCGGCCAGAGTGCATTTTGAAGCCACCAGACGAGCTGCCTTCCTCCTGAGATCCTGAAGGAGGAAAGGACACTGTTAACCGTCACGCTGAACAGAATGCATTCATGCAGTTTATGCTCATATATTCACTGACAGGTGGCAATGACTGCACAACATCGCAGTGATAGATGAAGCCGGTGTGAGGGAGCAGAGAGGTGCTGCTGAAGCCAGAGAGGGTTCTCCTCTGCGCTCCCAGCAGCATCAGGTTACAGGCTGGCATCTTTGACAGGTTAGTGAGGCCTCCGGCGATACCTGCATCCACAGGAGAGACCGGACAGTCACCGAAACAATCCTCAGTGAAGATGATGTACATTTGTAAACACTGTGCAGTCAGTAGATTTCTCTCACCCATGATCTTTGCTGCTGTTGATGCTCCAACAATGATGGACAGGTTTGGAGCAATGAAGGACATTCTGGATTCTACATATTCATAAATCCTGTGTTTAGACTGGTTCAGCTCCAGGGCCATGTCGCACGCCTCCTCCAGCTGCTTCAGTTCATCCTCACTCAGCAACGACCTGAAGGCACAAGTGGCACAGTCGCCGTTCAGTTACAGTAATAACCAAAAATACATAACAACACAAACTCTTTCCTCCTTGAAGCTCTACTATCGATAACCCTTGTTTCTCTTGTCAACTTCGGCAAGACAAGGTGTGCATCAGAAATCAGTGAGGGTGATCTCTGCCTATACAGCTTACTCGGGCTACTCTTTGTATGATTGCTATAACACAGGTTATAGCAATCACACAAATTCATTATTCTTATAGCTTGAAACACTGAAATTTACAGACCTAATGAAATTCAAAAGAGCAGAAATGTAGTTTTCAAAGGAAAGGTCACTTTGAAAACAGGAAGTATTCAAAGTAACTTTTTTAAGACTGAAGGAAGTTTTAATTTTGCAACTGTTCAAATATAAATCACTTCAAAATGAGGTATAAAAGTTATGGCATCTATGAGACTCAAAGAAGAAGACTGTGTTTAGTTTGTGTTTCAGACCTATTCAGATTTTACAATTAATATTCCAAAATTGGAAGTACATGGCTTTTATCCAATTGTAAAAATAAGATATGATGATAATAATTTTAATTTTATGTAGCATATATATTCTGTTTTTAGAAATGTGTATTCTTATTACTGAGGTTTATATCAATATGGAAGCTGGATAAATATAAACTGATAACTTATGGAGAAGGGGTATGATTGTGCACTTCTTCTCGATATGCAATAGTAAGAATGATACTGAGTGCATTTAGTTATTATTTAAAAATAGCCTGTTAATGATTTTTATTCTAATAGAAAAAAAAAATGAACGTCTTATTGATGCTTTGTAACTTAACTTAGTTTCCCCATCACTTTCCTATGAGCTACTGTCACTGATTATTATAAAATAACTGCTTAACACTTCAGTTTTGAGATGCACTGATTACAATTTCCTTGACCTATTCCAGTTTTCTTTAAGTGAAGAAAACTGGAATAAAACTGCAATCAACACAGCAAGAAGGTTCTGGGTCTTTCATGCTGTCTTGGTCTGTGTGGGTTCTCTTTAGGCTTCCCCCCACAGTCCAAAAACATGCATTCATGGTTGTGATTTTAAATTGACCATAGGTAGGAATATGAGTGTGAACATGACCAGGAATGTGAACAGTTGCCCATCTGTGTGTTAGCCCTGTGACCTGTGCTGGGTGTACCCTGCCTCTCCCCATTAAGCTGGGATAGGCTCCAGCCCCCCAGCGTTAGCAACCCCCAAGTTTTTCATTTCCAGTAAGTGATTTAAGGTGATTCTAGCAGGAAGTGTTCACAGTGAACTACATGAAACTCTTCTGGTGAGACGGGGCCTTTAAATCTTATGAACTTACCCCTGTGTGGTTGAGGCTGTGACACTGACAACCATAATGGTGGCGTTGGTAAGGATTTGCTGCAGCGTCTCATTGTTTTTGCATTTCTCCAGATTGTTTCCCAGCTCCTAGACATAAACCACAAAAAAGAAGAAAAATTAGGGGAGAAAACATCATGGTCAAACAAACTACAAGAAACAATTTTTTAACACGTTTGCTTGCAGTTAAAGAGAGAAATTTGAAAGCAGAAATTGGAAAATTTTAACTGCAACATAATTTTCAATCTGTGCAGTTTTAAACTCTTTAATCACGTCAGTTTTGTTAAAAATAGAAATCCTAAATCTAACTAAAAAACAGAAACAGTCAACTCGGAGCTTCTTCTTTTTTTGAATGAATACATAGTTTAGCTCACCTTGACAGTACGGATGTAATCCAAAGAATCCGGCACCAGAGACTCCAGCTCTGGAAACCTCTTGGAGTATTTGTCCCTGGTAAACTTGTGGATGATATCTGGAAACAGATCAGAAACACAGAGGACATCTCAGGTTATAAGGAAGAGAGCGAAATCTTAAAACATAGCATTATGGATCACCAGAGAGAAGAAGCCAACTCACTGAGCTCGTTGTCGATCTCCACTGTGAGGTTATTAGCTGCGACTATCAGTCTGTATTCTGGGTCGGCCTCGACTGGGCCTGAGACTAAAAGCAAACACACAAAAAATAATAACAACTCTATGGTAACCCAGAGTCGTCATGGAGTTCAAATGAAATGTGTTTACAGAGTAAAACAGAGAAATGAATGGAAACTGATAGTGAGAAGAGCCTTAAATAATAATAACAACACTCACCCTCTGAGTTCTTACGCTGCTTCCCAATATATTCAGAAATTTTGTCTATTATCTCTGAAAACTGTAAAACACACAAGAGTCACTCTGGGAAGAACAGAGCAGACATTTTACTGCTAATCTCAACATGTGTAAAGCTCTTGTATGTTACAACTCACCTGTTTGCTATTGCGAAGCTTTGCAATAGACGCAACGCTCTCAGCTTTACTGTAGTCCACCTCCATCTCCTCTGGGATGTCTTCCAGCCCTCCGTCTGCACTTCCCTGGTTCGGCTCTCCATCGCTGTCCCTCTCTTCTTCTGGGTACAGTCCATCCTCTCCCTCATCTCCGGCCTCCTCCAGATCAGCCAGGAGCTCATCTGCCAGAGACATCTGCAATCGATGGAAAAACTGTGAGGACAGGCAAAGCCAACTAGGATCAGTTTGCCACAGGGTACATGAGGTTGTCACTGAGTTTGGTGGGGTATATGTTCTTTATTTGCTGCTGTTGATGTAACTCTGAATTTATTTTTTATTAATGATCTGGTTACATAACTTGAGGATCCCATTTTGACTGTTTTCTAAGGGCTTATAAAGCAATCACTGCAGACGCACGACCAGCAACTAAAACAATATTCTTATTCTTAAATTCTTATAAAAAAAGCAGGTCTCTAATATCCCCTTACTTAATAATATTAATTGAGCACTAGATACTTAACACTAGTTTTACTCATTTATCAAACAATACAAATACAAATCAAATACAAAAAGCGTGTCAACACAAAAACTTATGGACCTCACTGCGTTATCAAGCCTGAAAGAGAAATCCATCTGTAGACATATTTTTGTGTTTCTGACAAAGAAGCTCTTCTCAGACTCGTTTGAGATACGATCGTGGCCGTGTTCAGTTCCTCACACGCTATCACCGCCTCATAAAAACTGCGAAGTATTAAGTCTGCTTCCATCTTTGGGTTTTCGCTGGCTGTGTTTGGAGTTAACCAATGTTAGCTAGCTAGCATTATCGAACGTTGGTCCGACGTTACTGAGCGATTTCTCAGTAACTTTGACATACCTCGGAGTTTTAGAGTCCTACTGGTTTAAGAAAAAATTAAAGACGTCCAATGCAGGTTTCAGTCGCTTTGAATAGAAATACAAAATGATTTGTCCCTCTGTTTTCTTGAGTGTTTGCAATCCGGTTGTGCGGCGAAGATGTACCGCTGGTCGCAGATTAAATACGTACATTCGCAAAGCTTTCTGGGAAACTGTGTCAGTACACTTCACAATCACAGAGGGTGTTTTTTTGTTTTGCCTTTTGCCACAGGTTTGATTATCTATCTATCTATCTATCTATCTATCTATCTATCTATCTATCTATCTATCTATCTGTGAAATATATACAATACACACATAAACTCGGTGTACAGTACAGTGAAAATATGGATTAAGATCTGTTTGAATGCTAAATACGATGGTCTAAGTTGATCTGAATGTGTAATTAGCAAATATAGGTACTGATTTAAGGACATCAAAAATATTCATAAATAAAATAAATAAAAATAATAATAATGATGATAATAAGTAGCAGAAAAAAACTTCCATGTTTCCCAGCTTCACCTTTGCTGAGAGGTGACATTTTTATATTCTATCTACCTAGATTATGGAGTTGGGGTCATGGCTGTGCTGGCTGACATGTTTTCCCAGCACAGACAGCTGGAGCAATCCATCTAATTTTCACTAACTGTATCTGTGATGTCAGTGCCTTCTGAAGCATTGTTAATTGATTTACAATATATAACTTGCTCTTACGGCCCATACGTGTCTAAGAAAAATTTCTAGTATTTCAATAGTTTGTAACTTAGCCCTCATTGACAGGCATGTATCTGGATATGAGTGCAACTTTTTTTGGTCATGAATGAAATAAAAGCAACAATCGAGCTTATTTATACAACACAGTTCAAATGAGAGGTTCACATTTCATAGTTTTTATTTCCCCCTTGTTTATACATTGCCCCCTGAAAACCATTCTTTAAACAATACAAGTTTAAACCAACATTTAAACAGACTAAACAAATTGACTAGTTGGATCTCGACTGCATGATGGACTGTTATTAGTAGAAAATGGAATAAATTAACAGATACACAAACAAATGGGAGTTATTTACTAATGAAAGGCTTCAATTTTTCATGCTAAGCTACATTAACTGTCATTAATTAAGATAAAAGAATGACGAGACAGCTAAAAATTCATAGACATCGGAAAATAATGAAACATTACAGGACGTTGTTCCATACATATTGGCATATATTAACAAGTAAAATTATACAAAATACTTTTTTTTGTTTAGCAATTAAGACGTTTGGGAAAATATTTTGATTTATTTGTTATGAAGATCTTGGAGAAGTTATAGATCTAGATGCATTTCTGTCCCAAACAAATTATAGTCAAGTTCATATATGCAATTGCACCAACGCAAATAAATACATAACTTAATAGATTAAATAAATAATTAAGATATTGCATGGAAACTGACTTTACATAAATAAGTAAAATAACATAGAAATAAATATAGAAATTAAAGCTTTTCAGAAATAAAAGTAAAAATAAACTGCTTGTTTCATTTTTCGTGCAGTCTAAGAATACATCTAAAAGTAAACAGCTCTAAAATGATACTGTATACACTTGTATTATGATGTTTGTACAAATGCTGAGGAGTATTGTCAAATACAGGAGTCAAGCAATTTCTGTTTCAAACTGCTGCTTACAAGAACAACTGACTGACTGCAATGAAAAATGTCCTTAATAAAGAGAGGACTGGGATCCAAGCGTTTACATAGACAGACGAATGACTAAAGAAAGTGCATTCCCCGCACTCCCAGGGCAAAACAAAACAAAGCAGAAAAAGAGAAGGTAAGCTGGTACACAGCAAGACTCCCACTGCATAGCTGTCGAATCTGTTTCAGATTTTACAAAGCTCCCGGCTCCTCTTCGCCTAGCATATGCTGCCTTTTCCAAAGATTTCTGCAGCCAAAGGCTATGTATAATCTCTGTAAACAGTGGCAGGCCGGAGCTCAGCAACCCCCAGTCGTACAAAATCCCGTCACTAGTAAAACCTGGAATGTTTCCAGCTTTTAGAATCGAAGTCTCTTCTTTCAGTTGCCTCTTCAATAAAAAAATATCCTCTGGGCGAATGGCTGGTTGTTGGGTTAATTCACGGGCCAGTCCGAGAGGGTTGAGCTCTAAAGTGTTTCCAGGATGATGTGCAACATCACACCAGGTGTGGGTCGTCAGCCGGGCTGACAGTGAAGCGCGATGAAGTCACTGAATTTACCCCGACAGGCGACCTTGGTTTGACTGATAAATCCTCTTTCCTTTTCGATTCTTTGCTTTTTGGCCCTAAAAGAGACAAAAAACAACATTAGCATCACGACTGTGCTGGTATTAAAACCAGAACAAGTGCACCAGGCATATGTATGGAAGCCCAAAAGGGACAGGATGTTCCCAGACAATAAGCATGTGTTTGACTGTAAGGGAAAGTTAAAGGAAAGTCTTTTTATTGGAATTAAACCAAAATATTAACCCGGTTCACAATCACAACTGAAACAATTACTGATCGTTTGTTAGCTCCATTGCACAACAAATCAGAATCCACTAAGAAGTCAAAGAAGTTTGCAAACTGTCAAACTTGGAGGACTAGAACTACCTAATTCTGCCATAAAAAGCAATGAAAATATAGTTTTTTATGGCAGATTCGGAAGGACCACAGGACCACTCCCTCCATCATCACAACTAATAAGATCCTCATTATCATCATCATCTAACAGAATACAAGCGATATGAAGCATGTCTGACAAAGCGATGTTTCAAGCTGCCACTTCGTTTATTCTCAAGAGGTGGTGCCGGTCGTCTACCAATCAAGGATCAATCCCTGGCTCCTCTTGTGCCATGTGTCAAAGCATCCTTGGACAAGACACTGAACCCTGAGTTGCCCCCAGTGGATTGATGTGAGTGTGTGAATGTATAAGGTATAAACAGGCTGTTTGAATGAGACTTGCTTTGAGTGCTCAAACGTGAGTAGAAGGTGCTCGAAGTACCAATCCATTTACCACCAAGTTCTGTCTTTGTCGTTTTGTGCATCAACTTTGAGAATCTGATATTATCAATATCATTCAGTACATCATGGCGAGCTTTACCTGCTTGAAGGTTATGCTGAGAAAAAGTACCTGTAAAATTACCAGTGTGACCTTGAGGAGAAGAATGATGATCCATCTGTGACTGGGACACATGTTTACTCACTTATAAGATGCACAAGAAAAAAAACAGTACCAAGCACAGGGGAGAAAATCAGCTGATAATTTATATCTTAATAGATATAGATTATCAGTCAACAACCACACTGAGGCGACACAGTCTTAGCTTAAAATAACTCAAAAGTAACACGGACCTCTTTCAAAACTTTGAAGTCTTGAAAGGCCTGAAAGATCATTAAGGAATCTAATTTTGCCTTTTCTGTATGTGACACAACTCGAAAGGAAACTCTGAGCCCCAACTTTCATTAGTCTGTGAAAAAGGGTGTTGAGTGCATGAGATGGAGAGTGGAAAGTAGCGAGAGCAGCTGAAAATGTGCAGAGAAACATGACTCGGGCTTGCATTGTTGAGCGCGGGATTAACATCCCTGCTCAGTTCAACATGTCACAGCATCCCGGGACATAATTATAGAAGATTAACTCTGGCTCCATATTTGCAGAGGAGAGGGCTGAACTGAGGTTTTCCATTTTAGCTGGGAATGTGCTAGTGGCTGTCACATTTTGTTACATCATTAGGCAGCTTAAGGAGGAGACTGAATCCCTGTGTAAGAAGCAGCAGACATTGATGCACGTAGAGTCCAACAAGCCAGCAGTTATGGTAACAGCTGTGTGGTGCAGCGCTGCACTGACAGCTAACATCAGCATCGGTAATTATTAGTTTTGTATTTTCTCTTTAGCTTTCATTTTATGTCGTTTAGAGGTTGTTGTTTTTTTGCCAGAGTGAGCTTGCTTGTTTAAGTTTAGTTTTTATTAGTTCCAGCATTAGTTTTAGTCTTTCTTCTTCTTATTATTATTATTATTGTGTTTATACCAAGTTCCAGAGGCAAGATTTAGGAAAGTCAGTACAGATAATACAATATAAATATTTTTTGAAAGCAGCTTACAAAAAAGCCTCACCAGGCAGTGTGTAATAACAAACTTTGCCAAAGTGACAAATGGCAAAATTAAGACTATTTCCTCTATAATTTTTTTAAATTTAGTTAGTTTTCCAAGTTCACAAAATTGTTTGACTTAATTGTTTTGTTTTTTTTCATATCTAGTTCCAGTTTTTATCTTTAGGTTTAGTTAGCTATAATAAACTTGACCAGCATAAGCAACAAACACCCTACAGAACAGCTGAGGCTTTTTATAATTATTCAGTCATCGAATTCATTAATTAATTAATTTAAAGAAATAAACATTTTCTGGGAACACAAATGTGAGTATGAACAGAGGCTCACATTTAAACTAACATAGTATTACTTCTTCCAGTGTTCCAGTACACTTTCCTAGGATAAGTGGTCATAATAGACCTGGGTGTGTTTGGGAGGTGATTGATTCACCTCTGAAGAAACTGACAAGCTCATATTATAAGTTGGCTCTGTGTTGAACACATTTTATGTTTTTTTACTGATTGGTTAGATGCTGCCAGCCAGCTAGATCAGAAAGCACTGCTGACACTAAGGACAACAGCAGTTGCAAACTGCAGTGCAACCAAAATTATTGTCAGTATGTGCAGTCCATTCAAAATCTGCTTTTATATCTTTGAGCAACAATAGCATACACGTTTTGTTAAATTATGCGGGAAAACTTAATGTAAGGAAAACTTTGTCATTTTAGCATTTGGGATCAGTGGCTGGTCAAAACAAGCTATAGCATAAAAAAATGACTTATTTTTCGATACTTCATTTTAATACTAGGATCATCTTTTAGCCATGAATGTCCTTTTACTGTCATGTAAATCCCCAATAAACTTCAGATTTATTTAAGTACCATTTGCTCTGAATAATATCTCTGGATGTACACATGAGCTCCGATTAGGCTTCAAGTGCTGCTCCTCTGCTCTAATCGTCTTCTCACAATTAGACCTGAGACATGTTGACCTACAGGACAACACTGCTACTGCAACTTAAAATTGACCTTCTTTATTCTGCATCTCGTCATGACTGAAAGAAAATGATTAA